AAGATGGGTGGTTGTCAAAATTATGCCTTTTGGGTCCTTATTATAATACGGCACCTATTATTTAGGGTTTCTTACTTCGCCAATAAGCCAGGGAAGTAAAAGGTTAAACTTTCAGATTATTACTAAATTATAAGAGCCCAAGAAGTTTAAAGGTTGGGTATTGGGGAACTAAGGTTTAGGGCTTAGTTCAAGGTGTAAAACACCTTGACAAACAATGCAGTACACATATGCACATACACTATACTATACACTTACATGTACAAAGACAAGTAGGGCACTAATACAAATATGAATGTAGACACGTAGTATAGATGTATACGAAACTACATGCCTCTACACACATGGAAGTGTAGATTTCATATTGGACCCACGGGACCCATGTGTGTATACATTACTCATAAATTTATACCCGTGCATATCATCTGTGCTCATTTATTGTACCTACGTCTTCTTCTAGGTATTCGCCCTGTCAAGTCCTCCATAATCCGCACAAGCAACTTGCAGCACAAACACTTGGGGGTCAATGGGCTGGGAGGCTGTGGAGTTTGACCTCATCCATGTGTCCAAAGTGGCTGAGGCATGACGAGACGAAATCAAATCACCCTCATGACGAACTCAAGCATCGAAGCACCAGCACCGAAGGCAAAGAAACTATCAACATGGCAACCCTCCAATTCAAAGTTATCTATCGGCAACCACCACTCTTCGCAACCACTCCTCGGTTCTTTGACCTTCCAGCAAGGCCGACAGTTTCGATCCGCCATGGCCCAAGACGTCGGCCCTGGGTTCAATCGGGAGCATTGGATCTTGGACTGTCTGGCAGCCTACGAACGTGCGTGCGTTGGTGCAGCAGCCCCGACAGGCCCAATGCCATCACTCAGAGCGGACGGTCAGTTTGAAAATGAGCTTGGAATGATCGTGACTGGAGTTCAGGTCCGTAGACGGGAGCATGACACGCTAGCCGCTACCTGCAGCGGTGACCACGTCACACATTACATCACCTGCCTCGGCTTATACAAACTGCCTGACAGTTGAGCGGCTTCCACTTGAAAGTGCTTGTGTCACTGTCGTGGACGGTGAACTCGACGCCCTGACAGCGAAGGTGACATTGCTCTCACAAGCATTGGACAACGATCAAGTGGTCGTTACAGGGACTGTGATCCAGTTGCAGCGCCCTCTTCATCGTTCCGTCTCATGACGTGAGATTGCACCCTGGGATCTCGGACATGTCGTGTACCTACATGGTAGCGATGTGTAGTGTCACTACGTCCTGGCGCTTGATGTCATCCACGACGAAGTCGAAGCAGTTGCCATACTCCCACTTTGGAGAGAGACCTCACGTAGAGCCAACCCCGGATGTTGAGAGAAGTCTCTGCGCGTCGCAGACTCACTCGGCAACTTGCTCGACGCTTGTCGGAAGCCCTCCATGCCGTATCCACATGCCAGGGTCAAGAAGCCAGCCTATGATTGGACATACTGGCGAAACTGATGCCTTCGGTCGGGCGAAAGGGTTTTGCAATCGGCACATGAAGGGGCTTGAGCAAGTAGGATCAGACAATGCTTCGAGTGATCATCGGAGTGAGGGAACTTTCACCGGACTGAGATGCAGACTGCCATTCATCGTGTCTGTCCTCACAGAGCTGCAGGCTGCAAGAAGCGCAGCGGCAGGAACAAAGAACTACTATCACCATCACAAACCATCACCGTCATCATAATCACCGTCGTCATCATCATCATCGTCATCATCATCATCCTCATGATCGTGACCGCCTTCTTCTACAATACCCACCAGCAGTATCATCACCGACAGGCAAGTTCAGCGTCGTCGCAACAACCACCCTCATCTTCGTCGCTATGGGGTTTGCCATCAAGACCACTACCGACGACATCTTCAGCCTGCCATCAGATGGCGATGATGCGAGTGATAATGACAATGATGCCAATGAAACTGATGTTGACAACTGTGGATGTAAGGATAGCGATGCTAGCTGCTAGCATAGAGGGTGAGGCGTAATCAAGGAGCCGCGGGTCAGGATGATGGACATGTAGGGACGACAGGGATGCTGCAACTAATCAACTCACATCCCGAATTGCCTTTGTTCTCCTCCGTCGCTCTCTCGATGCCTGCCCCGCCGAAATACGCATACCAAGACAACAGTGTCACCTTAAACTCCCTATAATCCTGAAACCGTATACACCCTATGCAACTCCTTGAATCCCAAACTTTGCCCAAGGGTCCTCTGAACTTGGGCCCCGATGGCTGCCTGCCGAAGGCCCAGATAGCAGCAACTTTGACTCTTAGTCCGAGTGGGCTAAAGGCAGCTTCTGGGCTCAGTGATCGGAGAAGAACAGACACACCCATTCACACAGCAGATAGACAGATCAGGATAGATAGATAGATAAGTAGATAAGTAGATAGATAGGTAGACGGATAGATAGATAGATAGATAGATAGATAGGGAGGTAGATAGATAGATAGATAGATAAGTAGATAGGGAGGTAGATAGGAGATAGGTAGATGGGTAGGTCGATAGATTGTGTGCACAGGCCCAGCCCATTGACTTGCAGCAAAGTGCGCATGGCAGCAGCACCGAGTACATTATACATCGTATTGTAACAGACTAGATTACACAAGACCGGAATATCTTAGATTATGCTGTCCCATGCTATGCTGAACAAACGGAACACGAACATGCAGATAGTTGAGAGATAGTTGAGTGAGACTGGCCCCTTGCGCCTCCACAAATGGATGGACATCGGGGCCCTCGGGGACGCCGCGGGACCCGAGCAATGGCCGCAGCACATTGTGCCTCTGAGACGCAGACACGAAACAGAACAATATAACAGGCTCGAACAGAAGGCATAAGGGCTCTTCCGAATGTTGAGGCTACTTCGCCGAAAAAACAGGAAACCTCTGTCGAGAAGACGACGACCATAGTTCGGTGCACTGAGCGTTCTCAAGGGCAGCCCCAAATCCTGACCAAAAAAGCCTCGGCGCGAAAAAACACAGAGTGTCGATGTCCTTTCTGGCATGTGTATGCTGTGTATGTATGCACTGTTGTATGTGTGCACTGCACGCATGTATATGTAGGCATATATTTCTGATATTTCTGCCCACGCACACAGAACGTCTAGATGCCTCTACGTCTTTTTGTGCAGCTACCGCTTCTTGTGTGAGGGTTTATGATTCACCTGTCTGCCGAGTATATACACGCACGGAGACGCACATGCGTCATCTGTACATATTCAGAAAAAGACACCGCTCTCATGCGCTTCAATACGGCATCATAGACGTGCATACAAACGTACACAGGTCCGGGTCACTCAGTCTGTCGCAAATAGACACCCAAAAACTCTTTCTTTCTTTCTGCAGGTATGGGGAAGGGGTTGCCCGCCCCCCTGGCACGTCGGCGCACTCCCTTTATTAGGAGTGGCAAGAGCTGAAACAACGCAGCCTGGGTGTACGACCCCGGCTTTGGAGGAGAATGTCGGCAAGACACAAGCGAAAACTCTCTCTCCCTCTCTCTCTTTCTTTGGTCAGGGCTATCTCTCTCTCTCTCTCTCTCTCCATATATATATATATATATGATGTGATATATGTATATATTTACTTTGTATATATATATATAATAATAATATTCATTTCTATGTATATGTCTGTATACACACACAGATGTATGTACACGGATGTGTATGTTTTTGTAAATGTATATATGTGTGTATATGAACGCGTATGCACGCGTATATGTGTGAGTGCATATACATACCTATGTGCCCTGAACCGTCAATCCTGAGCCCTGGAACCTAAGATACCAACCCCTCCGCCTTCAACCCTGAACCCTAAGCCCCTAAACCCTAGGCTCTACATCCCTAATCCCTAAACCCTGAACTCTAAACCCCTAAACCCTAAAAATCGAAACTAAAGCGTTTGCAGGACGTGGCCAAGCCACCAGTGAGAGCGGCCGGGATCGGGAAGGTCGCGAGCCTCCTCACGTTACTATGGAGACTAAAACGGAGTAATATTACCCAACTATCTAATATGGCTATACACATATGTATACTGTCAGAACCTGTGAAGTTTCGTTCGTGCTGTCGTGAAAGAAGTCCTATGATCAGAATAGGTTTCACTGGATCTGTCTGCCGTCAGCCCAATGTCTCTCCAGAAAACGTCTGCCTACTTCGGGGGGCCTAGTTACCGTAGTCTCTGAGCTGCTGGATCATTAGATTGGGCATCCCCACGGCTCTCCCAGGCAAGGGTCCAGCACGACCAAGCGCAGCACCCCCTGTGGAGTTGGCATCCGCAGGTCGACTTCGCTGATGGCGTCGCCGATCGGAAGCTCGGAGCGTGAGTTGGTGACTCTACACGAAGGTTGCTGAAGCAACATGGCCGTCACTTGACCAGTTCCTGTTTTATGAGATGTTGCGTCCAAGCCTAGCAACAGGGCAGTAGCAGCAGGAGTGGAGCAGTAGCAGCAACACGAGCAGCGGTAGGACCAGAGGCGAAGTAAGAAGTAGGAGTCGTAGTAGTCGTAGTAGTAGTAGTAGTAGTAGTAGTAGTAGTAGGAGTAGTAGTAGCAGTAGTAGTAGTAGTAGCAGCAGCAGCATCAGTAGTGGTAGCGGTAGTACAAGAAGTGAGTAGTGAGTACTAAGTAGTTGGTACAAGGTGGCAGGTAGTAGGTGGTAAGTGATGGTAAGTAGTAGTAGTAGTAGTAGTAGTAGTAGTAGTAGTAGCAGCAGCAGTGCAGTACTAGTAGCGGTACAACCAACCACAACCACAACCACCACCACGAACGCGACGACGACCGGGACGTAGACACAGACCACGAAGAGAACGACGGCACCGACCAAGCCATGACCGTCCGAAGCAAAAAGTGTAATCACGAGGAAACTCATCGACCACAGTAAACGATTTAATGATCCTGCACATCATGAGACAACCATCTGCCACAACTCCCTGCACGTATCTCAACCGCGGCAAACTTGACCTCATGGCCAATATCTTAAAACCAACTTCCCGATTTGCTGATCCAGGCACGCAGAAGCGATTTGGAAGAACCGCCTGGCCCGCAATGACATCGCCCAGCGCAGTCACAAGCTTCTGCCTCATCATCTTCTACCACCACTGCCCTTGCCACACGCACCACCCCGCTAAGAACGACAAAGACGATGACTGATGCTGCTGCTGACAGTGGTTGGCTTCGGTGGTGGGGCCTAGATCTTCTGGCTGAGAGCTGAGAAGTGCTCCGAGATTGGACCCGCGCTCTGCTTGCAGATGGGTGCTTGATGAACTCGAAGTTGGCGTTGAGGCCGAGGACTTCCGTTTGAACCACCAAATCCTTAGATCTTCAGAGCCTGAGTGGGAAGCCACCCGGAAATCCGGCTCGTGGCCTTGAGATCAGAAGAGTGGTAGAGTTTCAATATTCGATTAATTAGGGTTTTGGGACATGACATAGTTTAGGTATCAGAGGACTATAACTATAAGAGGATGCTAGTCGTAGCTTTTCCGACCCCGATATCAACCGACAAGGTGCGATCTTTGGGCGGTTGGAGAAATAGATCCGTACTCCGCTGAACCATGGAGGGTTCTTCTGGAGCCTCACCAGCTCAATGACGATCTCGCCAGTGACTTGCAGTTGCGTAAGAACCTCACAAGGAGCATCCGAATGTTGAGCAGAAAGTCCTCACCTATGCTTTTCCGGGATGTGCCAAGTCACCAAACTGCCCACTGTGCAGGTCACATCGACGTGAGAGTCGCCGACGTAGTTGAGTTGTGCATCCAGGCGGATGGTTGTGGACTCCTCGAGTGGGTCCTGCTCAAGCTGTTGGGTGGACTACTGACCCCAACGAAGCAGGCACTTGAGGGAGCTCTTCTCATCAATAAATCAAATCTAGCTCGTCAGCAGTGATTTGCTTTCACAGTTTGAGTCTCGCGAAACTTTGACCACAGGCCTCGCAGTACTTGCTGGCAATAATGGACTGAAGCTGCGCAGGCTTCGTGCCGAGGGAGCACTTGTCCTTTGAGCTGTCATCTTACCGATTGCTACGTGGAACGACTGCATAATCGGTTCTCTCTCGTTGCAAACACGGGGCACCGAAGCAGATGGTGATGCCTGCATAGACAACAGCAAGCAACTGATGTTCTCTTGCAATTTATGTCACAGACGTCTGCTTAATCGGACCGTAGCCGGGCAAAACCGCTATTAAAGTCTAACCGACAGATGCTTGCAGAACTTGCAAAGTGGCCTGCCGGCATCACCGATTGCAGTGCCGGCTCGCAGTTTGTGCGCATGGTCTCGTCAAACCAATCTGAGATGTAGGGCCACTGTGCCGCCACGAGGTCATTGATGAACTCGTGCCTCGCTATAAAGGTCGTGGCTCTGAGGTGGCCTTAGGGGTTTAGGGTTCGGGCTTATAGGGCTGATACGGCTCATAGGGTTTAGAGATGGCTTATAGGGTTTACAAGGCCGTTTAGGGTTTGGGGTCAGGGTCTGAAGAGTTGAGGCGCCGCCCACCCAGCCAACCAAACCGGGAGGCCTGGCAAAGATCGGATCGAAAGACAAAGTTCGGTTCATGGACAGACCATCGGATGCTGAAGTTCATCTTGCAAGCGCGGAACATACTGAAAACTGCAATGACCTCCTTCCTGAACCCCAACCTATAGACTACCAAATCCCGAAACCCCAAAGTCCAAACCTTGCACACCACGCCCACTCAAACTCGCAAAGCAAAGCCCACTTTCGGCCTCGCCCCAGATCCCCGTATTGGGGGCCGAGTCGGGCGCATCCTTCGTGGTTTTCAACAAAAAACTGGGTTTCAGTTTAGAGCTGATGGTTTACAGATGGGGTTTATGGCGTAAGGGTTCGGATTTGGAGCTTGTAAAATCCTAAACCTTAAACCCTAAACCCTAAAAGCCCTAAAAGATATTTCGGATTTAGGGCTTCTCGGGCCATGGGTCTTGGACCTTATCAACCTTAAGAAGTACCCTTCCAACCAGGCTCTCGTATGGAACCCCAGAAACCTCTAGCCCCCTTGCCAACACTTTTAGGCCCCTGCCAAGCGACTAGTATGGAAACTTCATACATAACCTGGGGCCATATAAACCTAGATAAGCCCTGTCCTAATGATCATAGTGATAGTAGTAACAACAAAATGGATACCAATATTACTACTGCTTCTACTACTAATAACAAACCATAGTAATAACAATAACATTAACAATAATAAGAAGAATAACAATAGTTATTGTTATGAACAGTGATAGTAAAAATGCTGAAAGTAATGATCCTTTAAAGTGTAATTGTAATAGCAGTATATGATAGTAACAATCATGTGCCAAAGTCACATTAATGTAGCAATGCAATTATAATGATACTCACAATAATGTAAGATAGTAATATATTGATGTAATTACAATGAGAAGCTCCCAGAAAAAATGGCCATAACACTAAGACTTGTATTGGTTAGTAATATTACGGTAACAATGAAATAGGGTTTAGGGTTAGGGGTGTAGGGTTTAGGGTTTAAGGGTTTAGGGTTTAGGTTTAGGGTTTAGGGTTTAGGGGTTGAGGGGGGTTAGGGTTTAGGGTTGAGGGGTTTAGGGGGTTAGGGTTTAGGGTTGAGGGGTTTAGGGTTTAGGGTTTAGGGTTTATCATGAGAAGCTCCCAGAAGACCCTAAACCCTAAACTCTAAACCCTAAACCCTAAACCCAGAAAGAGCCATTTTCGGAGGCCTGGCCGAGATGGCCGATCTGGGAGACCTGTCGGAGGAAGCCCGTGGAGAGCCGCTGCGTGTGGGCCCCGAGGCCAAAGCAGCCTCTATGGGTGCGAATTCAGGGTTTGAAGGGGCTTTAGGGTTTATAGTGGGCTTTAGGGGCTTTAGGGTTTATGATGGGCTTTAGGTGTTTTATGGTTTATAATGCGCTTTAGGGGCTTTAGGGGTCTTGAGGGTTTAGAGGTCTTAGGGTTCTGGGCTTAGTTCGAAGGTTAAGGGCTTTGAGGGTGCAGAGGTTTACAGAACTTTCTGGGGCGTTTAGGGTTGGGGGGTTGTGTTTTCGCATTTTTGGGGCTTCTAGAGGATTGGATTTAGGGTCTTATACCCTAAAACCGGACGGGTCTAGGGTTGAGGGTCGGGTTCTAGGGCTTCTAGGGAGGAATTTGTTGCTTAACTTGCGCGGAAAAGTGTGGGATGTGTGGGATCAAGGCATCATGGAGGGTGTTGTCACAGGTGAAGAAGTAGGCATGGATTCACTGGGCACTGGATCGTTCGTTCAGACTTCGCTTGTGGAAGAAGCTCTGGGCAACCCGCAACAAGAAGAGACTGAAAAACTTGCGCTGAACGAGGTCTCCCGCTCCCTTTCAGGGAACCGCGTGAATGTGTGTTCTGTTGGCATTGTTGATGCAGGGATGTAACGCTTTCGAGATGCATGGCACTTGACTGTTCTTCTTACGATCCACACTCAAGCCCTACCTATAATCTCCATTGCAGTTCGTTTTTGGGTTTTCCTTATAAAACCCTGAGTATAGAATTGGATAAACCAAAAAAAAGGAACTACAGTAGAATGGAGACTATAGGTAACCTCCATAAATGGGGGGTTTCCGAAAATAGGGGACCCTAATATAGTACCCTAAATAATAGGATCCCTATTATAAGGACCCCAAAATAAGGTACCCCTAATTTTCTGAAACTCCATAAATCATAAACCCTAAACCCTAAACCCCACTCCGTTTCGAGTGCGCCTGTGGGGAGGCAGCTCCGGCAGGAGCTCCACAGCCAGAGCTTCCATGAATCCGCCCATGACAGCTCCTATACGGGACTTTCCGAAAATTAGGGGTGCCTTATTTAGGGGTCCGTATAATAAGGATCCTACTATTTAGGGTATTATATTGGGGTCCCCATTTTCGGAAACCCCCACTGGGCTTTGAGGTAGCCAGAGAGAAAAAGCATTCAAGCATGGCAGTCCTGAACCCAATGTTGGATGCGGATGAGACCTTTTTCTACGGTAAGGTTCGTATATAGATACCAGAATGCTGACCAGAATGCACAAGATGCTACCTGTTTTGGATTAGGTCTTAGGGCACCACCGTATGGGTTTACGCTTCCACTCATTCTTCTTGCACATCTGCATCAGTCGGTTCAGGGGTTAAGAGCCAAGGGGGCATCTGCCTTGAGTTCCCCGTGCAAGGCAGATCCGGACTGACAGTCTCGCTGCAACCCTGTGCTCCTCAGGAATGCTCTCGAAGTGCACGGCCATGCGTGGGAGAACGGCTGAATACTTGAGGAGTCGGTCCGAGCTGGGGTTTGGGGTCGTTCGGGTTTGCGGGGACTGCACCCCAGCGAAGGAACTTTGGTAGGAAGTCTTTGTAGCTCTTAGTGCCGTCTGCGAATCCCGAAGTCGAAACCAGCTTCGCTGTCTAAGGTGCTAGGCAGTTGGACATAGTCGGCGGCGGTTTGACTCTATCCATGTTCATCCCGTGCAACGACGGAGGTAATATCCAGCCCTCTTAGCAGCAGTTTCGGAAGTGTAAGGGAGCCTGAAGCCATAAGGCTGCAGCAAGACCAGGCCGGGAATCGCAAGTCTGGTTACTGGTTCTGTGCTTCGACACTGGCTTTGCTGGGTCGCCCTGCGGTGTTTTGGGCGGCTGCCAGAGCCTTCACCAACTGTTGGATGAGCTCAAAGTGCTCCTCGTGGAGTTCTAGGAAAGGAGATTTTGTATACGCTCTGGACATGAGGCTGTGTAACATCCTTTGAGCAACCGCCTTGGCAGAGCAAACGGGTCCTCGACGTTGTACGTGCGCCGGTGTCGCATCTCCTTGGAGCATTTTCGAACGACCTTGGGTGCGGCCGCAGCAAGCGACCGCATACTCGCTGTGTGACTCAGAGGCATTTCTAGGTGCCCGGACATCCGGGTCGTAGTTTGGCCAGTCTGCGCAGCCTTTGGAAACGAAGTCCTGTCTCAACGTGTCAACAACATCATAAACAATGGCGAATCATGCAAGGAGTGCTCTGCAAGTGGCTGATCAACTGGTGCACTGATTGAAGTTGCGAGCAGCCGCGCGCTTGAGTTACTAGGTACCCTGCCACAAATCACTGCCAGCTTATGCTGCAAGAAGAACATTATCAAGATTCAAAACTCCGCCGCGAAGCCTGCTGGTAATAGCCGTTTCACAGCTTCAGCTCGATTATCATCTGGACATTGGGAGAAGCACCCCAGCAAAAGAACACGCCGGTCGCCCTGGTATCCTTCGGTGCACGTTTTCTCGAAACATTCCAATTTTCAGGCTCTCGAGTCTCGCTGTCATGTTCTCGATGACTCTCGAGGCGTCCTGCATCCAAAGGACTGTGTCTCGGCAGCAAGGTGGTCTAGGAAGGTCATGCACCGTGGCATCGACAAGGACCAATCGTATGGAAGACGTGCATATCAAGAGAAATATCGCGCAAGCAAATCTTCCCAACACCATATTCTCTGATGTGGTCTCTTGCATTCCCCCACTCGTACAGTAAGCCGGCAGGTTGTGCCTTGCAAGCGCGCTCGGCTACTGCATGCTGATGCTGATGCTCTTGCTGTACGTACTTACAACGATTACGTACGACTACCACCTCATACACCCTAATTACACACTGAAAGCGGTGAACCCTGAACCCTACAGCCCAAAATCCTAAGCCCCAAACTCAAGCCTGCTCCACAGGGGTCTGTAGGACTCGGAAGGTGGTGCATCACTTGGTGCGTAGAAAGCGTAGCCTGCAAGCTGCGGGAAATCAGAACGTAACAGAGGCGATCCGTCTGTTGCTCTATTTCTGCCAGACTTGTGCCGGTAGCACTCGGGAACAGAAGCTTCACGGAGGTTGGCGTCTTGAGGCTGCCCGGCATGCCAGCACTGGCCTCCTCGGACGGTGTGATGGCCGTAATCGCCTCGCAGGGAATCTCATCTTCATCGGACTTCAAATTGGTGCTTGAGGCGGTCCGCACCCACTCCTTCCGCGCTTCCGCGTAGGACAGCGCATGCCAGGTTCTGCAGTCGTCGGTGCTAGATGAAGGCCCCTCCCGGAGCTTTGATCGGCGTGGCCCGCACGGCGATCGTCTCGCCGTTTTGGTAGAACTCTGCTCGTCCATCCTCCAGAGACGTGACTTTGGACTCGTAGTAGTCGTTGCCTCCCTTCCGACCCTTCCGTCGGCTCGGGATGAGATCCGACAGGCTCCTGTTCTCCAACAGCCAGGTGACGACCTTGCGAGGACACGGCCAACCGGCCACGACTCCCGACACCAAGGTCTTCTTGGACTCGGAGTAGCTGAGGATGTACTTCTTTCCCTGGCAATATTCCTCACCGAAGCCTCCTCCTTTCATGGATCGCCGGTAGTAGACCTCTCCCTGCAAAGTCTTGTACCATACATACAGGTACGTGACCATCACGACCGAACCCTTTATGTCCGTCTCTTCCTGTTCCTCTTCGCGAAGGAAGTAGTAGGGCGGTGTCTCCTCAATTGGGTGTTTGATGCTCAGCAACTTCTGGACATTGCGCCCCCTGAGCCACGCGCACAGCTTGTTCGGCAGAGGCCGGAATCTGTCTCCAGTAGGCCCCGGGATCTTCATCGACGGGCTGCAGAAAGTGCCAGACAGGTAGTCGTAGGGCAAGCGCTTCCAAGCATCGTTGATCTCAGGCCTCTTCTCCTCTGGGATGTTCTCCCTCCAGCGGTAGATGCCATCATCTGACTCTTCAAAGCGCACACGAAGGTAGGGTCCGGGGACATCCTTGTCGCACTCGTCAGGGTCCATCTCTCCGAACTCGATGTAGATGTAGCTTGGAGTGCGGCCCAGGTATCGTGGGCAGGCGCTGACATAATGACAGGCGGTCTCCTCCAGTCCCTTATACTTGTCAGCGATGCCCGAGTCCTCGTTCGACAGGTTGATGAACCACTCCCACAGCCGCAGGACCGAGAAGACATCACTCTCCAGCTTGTGGGCTCCCATAAGAGCATAGAACACACAAACCTTCCGGGTGGATCCAATCTTCTTTCTTGTGCCCAGATCGATCAGCCCGGTCTTGAGGAACAAGTGTGCCATGCGCTGTGGATCTTCGCGGTCCAAGTACTCCTCCACCTTGCGGTTCAAGCTCTCCCGCGTCTGGCTTGGGTCCCGCGCAGATCGGCTCGACTGGTGCTTTTGTTGCGACAGGTTCCCAAAAGGTCAGCCGATCCATCCTTCCCAGCAGCTCCGGGAGCCAGTCGGGCGGATCGGTGGGCGGCTCCTTCATGGCTTCGTAGTCGATCCTTCCTTCCCGCACCTTTACCTACAGGAGCTCGTCCAATTGGTGCTCGTCGCTTTCCCGGCAGAGTACTTGGTGATGGAACTTCAGCACGTTGTCCAACTCTTCCGGCTTCCAGTCGATCTCCTCGCTGTCACTGCTGACCTCCAAGCGTAGCTTCGTGTTACCGATGCCGAGCTGGTAGTTATGTTCTGCGGGCGATGTAGTGAGAAGACCCCACTTGCCCTCCTCATCTTCCTCCTCCACGACGAAGAGACTGATGGGAGCCTCGTCAGGCCGTTGAAGCTGAAAGCGCTCTCGAGGGTCCTTCAGAAGAGTCGGACGCACCCAGCAGCCTCCTCTGCCAGCGAGGTTCGGTTTCAGGTCACGTGTCGACCCTTTGCGAATCACGTCCGGCGGATCAACTGTCTGGTTCAGCTTCTTCAACGCTTTCTCGGCAATGCGCTCTTTGGCACCATCGACGTCGGCCGTCAGCTCCTCGAACTCCGACCGGGGAGCCTCCTTGATTGCCTTTGGGTAGCCGACAAGCTGCAGAGAAGCCTCATCAAACCAGCATCTCTTCGCCCGAGGCCAGCGGAGAAAGGTGTAGCAACTGGCCTCAGCGTAAGGGCAGTCAGAGCTCAAGGCTTTAGAGCTTGACTGCTGACCCTGAACACTGGGTGCAGGGCTGTCTCCGCTGGCTGCAACCATAGCTACGTTGCCAGACACTGGCGGCAAGTCCCTCCTTGCGCTGGCGGCTTTGGAGCTTTGACGGAAGGAACGGAACACAAGTTGATTGCTGTTGGACATGCGGTAATGATTGTGAATATGTATAACGGTTATGATTATGATTATTATGATTAAGGTTATGATGATGATGGTGGAGATGATGATGACCGTGATGATGATGATGATCATCATCATCATCATCATCATCATCATCATGGTGGTGATCATGACGGTGATCATGATGATGATCATGATGATGACCATGATGATGATCATAGTAATAATCATAATAATCATAACCATAATGATGGTCATAATGATCATCATAATAATAATCATGACGATGATGATGATGATGATGATGATGGACGGGTGATGGGAATGCTCACTATGATGAAAACGAAAACACGATCATGTAACGGGGCCCATGATAAGGAGGCGAATTGGGATCATTGTTCTCAACATGACCTTTGTATCCAGTGCGATGGCTGTGAAGCTCGAAATTATCGACGGGTACCCAACTCACAGTCACACCAATCACCAGTAGCTCAGCTGCCGAAAAAACTGCTAGGCAATGCGCGGCTTCCCAGAACTTCGCATCTGTGTAGATTCGTTCCTACATGGGGGCCCTTCGCATGACAGTGGCAGTGGCTCCAAGAAGGATTACCCCAAACCCTAAACCTTTTAAACCCTAAACCCTAAAGTCACAGGATCCTTTCACGAAGCCGCTCAGCCTGACGATCCGTACCTATAGTCTCCATTGTAGTTCCCTTTTTTTGGTCTAACCACTGCTACATTAAGGATTTTTTATCAGGTATCCCCAAAAAGGAACTACAATGGAGACTATAGGTAATATTTTGGTTCCAAAAAGCTGTTTCCTACGAAAGCCAAATCCCGACAAAGGGAACCTCAGAACCGGAAAGCTCCCCATCGCCCACCCTAAACCCTAAACCCCTAAACCCCTAAACCCTAAACCCTAAACCCTAAACCCTAAACCCAGCTCCTGGCCCAGAGGTCGCGCACGCGATACTTCCGGGACGGCGCCAGCCCCAACTCTGACAGCCCGACATGGGCCGACCTCGGAGGAGCTTCGGACCTCCTGGGAGGGCTAAGAAACCGATGGCTGATGTAGGGGCCTACATATTTGTCATTACCAAGACTAGTCTTGGGGGATTCCTTAGTATATATATATATATATAAGCTACATAAGTATAGTATAATGGGCCACAAAACCCTACTCTAATTATTAGGGCCCGTACCTTGTCTTCAAGGTTGGGGTCCGGACTGACTAAGACTTGGATGGGCTCTGTACGTCCGGTTATGTTACCGCTCAGCTGTCGCGACGAACGATTCCAGTGCTCCAAAATCGAAATCTGCAACCTCGAACCGGAGAAGACCTGTCTCCCAAACCACTGTACCATGCCAAGGCAGCCAAGGCGCAGCATCGGTGCTTCTGAGCCTCGGTTCAGAAGCAGCCTCGGCCAGCGAAGTGAGGCTCTGCTGAAAAGCAATTGCCCCTTGATCCCATGCATTCAATGCTGCCCCACGCCACTGTGCGAAATCTGTCTCATCACTACTTTTGTTGGGGCATGTCGCCGCCGTCACTACCAGCATGCCCTACTCTTGCAAGGCAGAGGGTCCACGAATTTTGCAGGGAAGGAGGTTTGGGGAGTATCTCCGCTTCTTGCAGTATAGTAGACAGTATAGAACAGAGTATATATTATATAGCATATCTATGTATATATATATATATGTGTGTAGTAACTAATACAGTACAAGGTACAGCCTGAAAGCATGAACCTGGAGCTGCAAGTCAAGCAGCACGGCCACACCTTCTGGTTGAGGCTTGGCCCAAAGCCTTTGTACTGGTCAAAGACGGTCACAGACGTGCGAACAGGAAGGAAGGCACGTGCCCCCGCGCCCCTTGCAGGCACAACCCTAAACCTTAAGCACAGTCTTCCACGGTAGGTGACTAGATGCAGCGAAGGTGTTCGGAAAGACGCCCGGCAACAACCCATTAAGTAAACCCTGAACCCGACATCCAGCTCTGGGCCGCGCGACTGCAGAGGTCCAAAGGCTGTGGGAAGGCCCCGCAAAGCCCGGACACAGAGGTCTCCTCGAAGAGCGTTTAGCCTTTAACAACCTATGCTTTGGGGTTTCAGCTGAAGGATTGGAGTTTGGAGTTTGCGGCTTACGGCTTGCCTTAAGGCTGCCAGACAACCTCAGCCCCGCACCTCAAACATCTGGATGCTTGATGATGCAACTGATGCAACATAAGCATTGGCATAGACACATAGAAGTCTAGTGCCAGTCTTCCGTGCAAGCGCCTGACATCAGTAGAATCAGTGGACTTGACGCAGCTGTTGGGCTGCACATAGGCTCTTGGGATGGAAAACTGGCATGATTCCACGAGGAACGGGACTTCGCCACAACGTCCAAGCACTCCTGCAAACATGTGCTCATCCGCGAATCGGACTGGATGCGCCGGTGGCTGACTCACGCCGCACACATCACCATCCTGAGGTCAACACGTCGGCGCGCACCACTTGCAAACAAGCGCGCAATTGCATGATGCTGTTTCCCTCCGCAAACCCGGAATAACGGCTGCAGCCAGCCTTCGAGAGACCCTCACTCTGCTCAAGTGCAGGAAAGGTGCATAGAGCCCCAACGCAGGTCCGACCTCCGAGACCAGGCAGACTGTGGCTGTTTTGGGCCATGGGCGCTGAGCGAGCAGCTCTTTACCAAACGACGGGAAACAACAGGGGCCCCTGCCTCTGTCTCAGCCGGAAGACTCAAGACCTGGGCTTCCGCAACACAATGGCACCAAGTACCAAGTGGGCGGTGAAACCGTAGCCCTCTGTCAAAAAACTAAAGCCGGAACTACTCTGTTGCAGGCATCCCGTCCTGCACCGACAGGCAGCGCCCCGTGGTCTCGGGAGGTGGGGCGGGGATGCCGCTGTCGATGCATTCGCCCGGCTGCAGGAGGGACCGGATCAATTGCCCGTCAACCTGGAGGGAAGAAGCACCGATCTTGGAAAGAGTTGAGAAAGAAAAGCAAGCATCCATGGTTTGTTCAAGCACATGCAGCAGCGCCTCCCACTGCTGATGAGGCTGTCCATTGCAGCTTCCCACGTTGACAGACCGCCCGTCGTGCAAGTCCACTTGCAGGCACTTGCCATCCATGACCTCAGTCTGTCTGTATCCACCCCGGCATCAACCACCGGAACTAGCTGAAGACCTGGGGGGGTGGCCCACCTTCTCACAACGCACGCATGTTCTGTAATGACTGCGTGCTGAGTGCTGACAGTGCGGTTGCTGCCGCCGCCGCGGGTCACAATCTCGTGATGGCGATGCTGGAGGCAATGATGACGACGACCACCACATGCGACTCTACACCAGGCCGACATGCATAGGTGCTCCGAAGACTAAGTCCAAGGCACCGCACGGATCTCCGAGCCCTGAAAGCGCCATGCCCCGTTGGCTGCACAGCCGCCGGCACCGGTCTTGGGGAGAGCCTGCATGGCAAAATGCCTTCGAATTTCGGCTAGAAGCTGTACTCTAATCCTAAATCCCTAAATTCCCCAAAACCCTAAGCCCTTAAACCCCTACAGTAAACCGTGAACCCTAAACCCCACAGAAAATGAGCGAATCGAAAGCAAGCCGCCTTGCACCCAAAGTTCACGCCCACCTGCTGCAAGGGGCAACCCTGGGCTTCCTTGAGCCTCGAACTACGAAAACTTACCTTTAAGAAAGGTCATGAAAGGTCCCTATGAATTCTCTAAAGTCTAAAGGGACCTCGGATTGTATGATCAAGAACCTACAACAGCCTGACGTAGGTTTGTGGCTTATGGTAGTTCAAGGTAGGCTTCCGTGGTTTTCAGGACGGGGCTCGGATCGGCAAGTTGCCCGTCGGGCGCAGCATGTATCCGTATGATATCTGGTGGTCCCCTGCCATCTTTTCACTCCTGTGCGGCCCTTTGGACCCCGCAGCAAGACCCTGCCCCCGCTGTAATGAAACCTTGTTGTGAAACCCTACCCTAAACCCAAACCTGTAGAAAACCGCAGACTCTTAAACCCGAACCGCAAACCCCAAAAACCCGAAACCCAAAACCTAAACCCCTAAACCCTCAGCCCCAAACCCCAGACCCTAAACCCCAAACCCTAAACCCTAAACTAAACCCTACACCACAGCCCCAAAGCGGACACATCTCCGTTTGCCGTGCCTCGGCTTCCTCTGCGGTGCTGCAGCCGGTGATCTCCCAACAGCCGCCTTCTCAGCGAAGTCTCCATGATTTAAGAGGGCGACGATGGAAGGCTTATATGATTAGTCTGCTATAAAGTTTAGGATGGCTTCAGGATTCTTGAGGTGCTTCTGTTGAGCCCTTCTTCCTGTCTGCTGGGTGGCAGTCTCATCTACAATGTACAACTGCGGAGATGTTCGCACACAAGCCGACAGTTCTCAGACTGGAAAAGATCAAGAACTGTATTTTTTCGCAAGGGCATGTAATACTCACACTCGTTGCATTTCTAACGGCATGCCCCAGTTCCAAACCCCGGCCTTCCCGGAAGCGCAGGTCGTTCTGTACGTTGCAGAGCCTTTCGCATCGGCCGCTTCGCTTCCAGCGCTGGCTGGGCACCGAAGCGTTGCAGCGCGAGAGTCGCAAAACGCCCTCCTGCACTGCTGCAGATGGTTGTATGGGGCAACTCCCCAAGATCGGGGGGGAAAAGCTCTGAAATGAAGAGCTTCGGGATCTGTTGTTCTCTCTCAATCTCGAGCAGCCACATGAACCGCCACGGCAGCAGGAGGCCCCAGGTACGTGGCGGCTACACGATGTCTGATACTGCTAGCTCCCCATAGGTCAAAAGCTCTCAGCTCTCGGGTCACACCAGCATGAGGCAAAGAGTGACACGATAAGAGGCGGTCAGCAGCTGCGCAAACAAGAAGGCACATCCATGCAAGGCAAGTACGCAGACTAATTAAGCCTAAAGCACAGTCAACAATGGCAGCCGAGCTTTTGGCAGTCAAAAAGCATCCGGCCTCCAATTCCTGGAAAGATGCCGTTTCAAAGATCTCCGAAAGAGGCTTGGGCTGCAGTTGCCAGAGACGCCCGTCTCGCAGAAGCCACCTGCCGATGGACCACTCAGGACTCAGCATCGCTTGATTCAGGCGGAGTCCTACTCGCGACCTCAAAGGATTAGTGTGGAACTGCCGTGTGAACCGATGCAACGAAACATGAGATAGCCATCCTCTGATTCAAAATACATTGCTAAGACTACACAAGAAAGAGTGATAAAAACGGGGTGAGACGAAAGAAAGGGAAGAGACAGCGGGATGGCAGTAGACTATCTTTAAATGTTGCGAAGATATACTCGGACCCTGTGGATTCCAGCCGCCAAGACTACTCATTGGGTGTTGGGATGCAGGGGCTCTCTGAAGCGAGAAATCCCATGAAGTCAGGCCATGCCAAATAACACCTTGAAGGTGAGCAATTCAATGCCTGTAGAGCAAAACACCCATCTAACTGCATGCCTATCCGGCAATGCACAACCGCAAACCAGGTCTAAAATGATCTAGAATGTACAACCAAACCACCGTCCGAAAGAATGGGATCTAAGCCACCGGAGGACCTCTGAGTTGGACTTCCCTGGCAGGGGCGAAGGGAAGCACCATCGGCCCAGGACAAACAGCTGCCTCGCCAGGTCACTTCGTGCCTTGGGTGCTTCAAGCGGGCTTTTCTCTCCTGACTGCACAAACGACCTAGGTGCTCAAAGGCATAAGTCTGTGTGACCCCAAACCTCGTCACCGAAAGCCCGAACTCCTTTATTAAGGAATCCGGGTAGCTACCAAATCCCTTTCCACGCAACGTGCCTCCCCGAATGCCTGGCCTGAAACGCGTTTATTTGCTGCACTGCAACGTGCGACCGCACGAAGAACGGTTTAGGGTTTATGGGTACTACTAGCATCACCACAACTACTCCCACGAGTATTGGCAATGTGCAGTAGCACCCCAGGTTTCGTACCATCCCCGAACCCGTGGCCCCCTCAGTTTCTCTTCTCTCTCGGCCTCTCCCCAGACTTTCAGACCCCAGCGAGCCCCAATTTCATCCTCTGATCTCCTCTTCACTTCGGGCTTCCCCCAAAGGTGGGGGTCCGTATGCCGAGGATCCCTTGGTCTGAAGATCCAGTCAACAAGCTTCAGCACGACCCTGAAATGCCACCGCCCTACTACTCCCCGTCTCTCCCTCTGTCTCTCTCTCTGTCTCTCTCTCTCTCTCTCTCTCTCTCTATATATATATATATATGTATATGTACCTACCTCCCTTAATCTATCTATCTATCTACAAATCCTTGCAAAGAGGCCGATCGGCGTCGTAGGCCCAGCCGCTGGCATTCTCCGATGCTCCGCAGGGCTGCGCCCAAGCAAACAGGGGCTCCGAGCTCGGATGTGGGGACCACCGCCGTAGCCTCGTGTGGCTTGGGCTCTCAGAATTTGAGGGTTACCTAACCAAAGGGTCCTCCCCATATCCCTTAAAGTTAGAGTTATGCATACCGAACTAAAAGGTCCTCATGCCAACACGATCCCACTGCTCACGGTCTAAATTGACGTCTCTGATGCTTGGAAACTCAGATGCTGGCCCAGTGCTACCGGAATTGTTTACTGAGCACCTGTGCAAATCCACAGTCCTACAGAGCTCATGTCAATGAGCTCCGCTATTTAACGCCAAGCTGCAATCGCCCGGGAGAGCCAGCCCAGTTCTGGTTCACCTTGATCACCTCCTCACGCAGGGGTTCCGAAGCCCAAGGACCCACATTTCGGGTCGGTCGACTCAATTCATGGAGTTCGTTCCGAGATTGCCAGTTCTGACAAGCTTTCGTTGTTTTGGATATCCCTTCTAGGAAGCATCGCACCAGGTGCAAGCGGGGCAGGACAGACTTCACCTGAATCTCTCGTCACCGTCTCGTCTACGAGAGTCACTCATGCATTTTCTGAGCACCGAAGCCTCTGCTAGGCCACTAAGTGCATGCTGGAGAGTTTGGAAGATTCGCACATCAGAGGGCTGATACTGTCTGGCATCCAGTACCCGGAACCATAGACGCTACGGCAAGTCGGGATTGAAGATCTGATCCCCATGCGGCCCGTGCGATCCTCTCGCGCTCTTCCTTCTCTCTTCCTTCTCTTCTGTTTCTTCTTTCTACTTACCTGGTTCTTTCTCTTTCTCAGTCTGTCTCTCCCTCATCCCCTCCCACATCCAGGTAAGAAAGCTCCTCATTGGTGATAATGTCCCAGACCTTCCAGCATAAAGCTCTGCTGCAGAGTGTGTCCATGGACCTATTAATTTGGCCAGCTGTGATCTCCTTGCTTCTCTCCACACGAAGCAATGCAGCAAAGGACACTTCTTCGCACTGCAAAGACGGATGCAAACTCTGCAGGTGTGTATGTATGTGTGGGTGTGTATATATATATATATACAACTTAGACAACGTGAAAATATGCACGCGTCTCTTTATTCAAAATGCATAAATGCACGCAAACAAGCCCTTCTTGCATTAGTAACATTGACCACCATCCTTGTAAATGTTGGTATTGCTATTGCTAATGATATTAATATAGTCTTTCTCATCACGCCGCATGATGAGTATCAGTATATTAATATCATTAGCGATAGCAATACCTGCCTATTCTCCATATTGTCATCATTATACTTGGTTTGACTACTACTATTCACATTATAAAGTCTGACTACTATGAGTATTATGCCAATTCAGGCGATTACGACCGTTATGACTACGACTACTGCGCTGTTGCTATCAGCATTCTCCGGGTATGACTCTGACTATTACTAGTACTACAATAATGACATTATCTCGTATATAATTAAATCTGTGTTTGTACTCCCGTGCCTGCATCGTAAAAATGTGTGTATACTATAATTGTACTGTAGCCCAGTCTGTTTTGATGCATTGTCCTGTCTGGAAATGTACCATGTCATAATATTTCTTTGCGTTCCATGGCACCGTATCATATTGTAGGAAAATTCTGTTGTATCATGCATTTGTACATATATCACAGATATGTATGATCAAATACACATGTATGTTACATGTCACGTAAGACCCCAACCTGGTCGAGCTTCTGGTCATCCAGCAGGTCGAAGCTGAGGATGAGAGGCGCAGACATGATCTCAGAAGCTTTACGCTTCGCGGCTTGTTTCAGAGGTTTAGTGGGGTTTTGAGGTTTAGGGCTTAGTGGTTCAAGTTAAATGGTTTGGGGTGCAAGGTTTAGTTCGGCTGAGGGTGTGGGGTGGGGGGGGGGGTTGGTCCGGGCCGTAGGTTCTCTGAAGGTCAACAACTTGGTGTAGAGTCTCTCTCCCTGTCTCGGCAACTGGGCGTGTGGCTTAGTCGCAACAACGGAGGACATCAAAGTTGCATGTGGTTCTGCGCTCCATGCTAGGGCAGCTTTTCTGCAACAGCATCCTAAGTCCTGGACCGCATAGGCTCCGAACTGACTCCTGCACGAGATGCAGGCTCTGCAACGAGTGCTGCCATCAATCAGCTTTACATCTATGTGGCACAAACCAGAGATCCATAGATCCAGCATAGATACGTAAATGAACATGAAGCAACACATAAAGCTAACATGCCGACGACAATTCATGCTCTTCGGTCCTCATCGCGGGAGGAGCTCCGGCATCCAAGGTGTCAGGGTACGCCCAACAGCCCACCCTGACACGCAGAGAGAGCTCGCAAGGCAGAGCATCCAGCCTACAGACCAAGTTACACAACATTCACCAAAGCCTCACTAGGCTGCGATTCCGGTGTAGACTATGCCTTGGCCACACTTATATTAAATTCGGGAGCCCTGGAGAAAAATATTTGAGTGCCGCCACAACAAGCAGTCATCAAAAACAAAATACACAGGTTTCAGTTGAGGGTTCTGTTCGAACGTAGAGAATCCCAGGTCCGCAGACATCCCTGTGACTGTTGCTCGCACTCTCTGTTCCCCCTGACTCCCCTCATGGAACTAAAATCTGAGTGCTTCTCTTTTGGGAGCCCGTGGGGGCGGCCTCGACCGGTTTAGGACCAAGGCTGTGGCGAGCAGTTCGACATCCAAGCCCACACTATGAAGGTCACCAGCAGTGCGGAAGAGGTCATAGGGACACCACCTGAGACAATGCGGCACTCACTTCTGGAATCAGATCAAATTAGGCAATCATGGACTGAGTATGGAACTGATTCTGAAAACCGGAAGCGGTATGAAGCTGAAACTGTCGGCTCCACGGGCACGATATGCGCTCGCTTTCGGGCCTCCCGCATTGTTGCACAGTCAAGCCACGTCGCATTTGGCTCCATGCTACCTTGATGACAGTTTTCCTCGGCGCACGCAGTTACGGTCTCGCGAATCAATAGCAATTGGCTTAGGAAGCAGTCTCCCGGGACGTCCCCTTATAAGAGCAATCGAACCGCTGCATCGTGTCTACTTGCCCTGTTGCGATGCAGGAACAATCTAGCACATCATATCTGCACGAACTCCAGGTAAAGCTTCGATAATGCAGCATAAACAGCACAAGACGGGACTAGGCCAGGATAGAATAAACGTAAAATCCTTCCGACCACTGTACGTACTAGTAATGCAGCAGAAGCCATGTCTCTCTACGCCGGTCTGTCTATGCATCTCTACTTTTTCATCGTCGCCACTCATCATCATCAAGACATCATCAGCGTCATCAGTTGCAACAGCAGCAGCGGCAAGTACACCGAGCATGAAAAACATGAGGATGAAACTGAAGTATGATTATGGCAACACTTACAAGTCACGAGACAACAAACTGTAACAGCGAAGCGAAGACACAATACATGGGCATCAAGGCCACATAAGTTTACTGGTCGCCGTCGCAGCCTCATCGTTGCCGTTGTTCCTTCTGCATCGTCATCACCATCCCCTAGCTGCTTCATATTCCCAACCCAACACAGAAAATGGCCACCCGAAGGTATCTTGGGATGTACTGAGACGCTTCTCCTCAAGTTCGCAGAAAGCCTGCCTGCAGGAAGCCCTTTACAAGGCGCCCATTTAAAACAAAAAACCTGAACCCTAAACTCTAAACCCTATAAACCCTAAACCCTAAACTTAAAACCCTCGCCTTCTGCAAGCCGAGCATCGATCGCGATGGGCGATCCCGCGGCCCCCAGCAAGTCGCTCCAGAGTTCAAGATCGTTGTAAACGCTGCCGCTATCGATCTTCACGTATTCGAACCTCAGGGTTTAGGGTTTTGGAGTTTAGGACTTAGGGTTTACGGTTTCAGATTTAGGGTTTAGGTTCAAGGCTTGCTTAGGACTTAGGGTTTAGGGTTTCAGGGACTTGGGCCTCCCGGGTCGGGCAGGGCAGACGCCTCAAACCTTTTCCCCCTCGTTTCTGTGGACAAGAGGCCCGTACTCATGCAGGAACTCGACAGAGCCTCTCCTCAGCTAATTTCGTTCACAAAGCACTTCGATGAAACACATCAAAGATTTTGTCCAAGACCGATAAAACAGAGTCGAGTCGGAGGAACCCCCAATTTTTTTGGGGGTTCAGCCAGAAGGTCTGAGGAACCCCCAATCGACACGAGTCTGAACAAGATGTACCAAGGGTGACAACAGAAGCGGCGCATCTGCAGCAAAGCCTCATATTCCGCATATACATCTCACCTGCCAACTGCATGCGTCATGACCGTGGCAGTTGCAACTCCAGAAGCATCAGGGTAACTAAGGGAACGCTTCATCCGCTTACTGAGCCGCTACTGGCAAATCAAATATCCCACCTCCAATGCCACCGCGAGGAGAGCCCTCTGCACAGATGTAGTTGTTCATGTAGAACCCGGGCCTTTGCATTTGCAGCATGTACACAGTGCTCTCATGTCGGATATGCTGCTGCATCGACCCTTCCATTGTTCTGAGCACCCCTTCTTCCCTTACTCCCTGGCTACCCATTCCAGCATTCACTTCTGTATCACTGGTCTTTTTTTGGAGCGAAGCGTCGCGTATTCTAGTATAGTTCGAACCGGCTTTGTGCGATACTTTGGTATAATTCGGCGGGGAACAAAGACGAATCTGCTACTCATCATTCCGACTCGTAGAATCAATATTCACCTTCATTTCGAGAAGTCTGGCTTGGGCTCTGCAGCGTTTCGGTACTTTGCTTCAGGTGCAGTTCGCAAGGTTTAGGGTTTTTAGGATTTAGGGTACAGGATAGTGAACAAAGGTAAGGGCAAGTTTCGTCTCCGAGTTTACCTGGGGGTTTCAGAATGCATTCCACGCTCGATTAACTTGTAGTCAAGGCAGCGAAGACGACCCAGAGGGCGATGGGCTTCCCAGAGTGGTTTAGGGTTTTTAGGGTTTAGGGTCTCTGAAAAACTTGCTCCACGGCGTAAGAAGACAAAAGCCTCTCAGCGCACGCTACACTCTCGCGGAAGGTGCCTCAAACCCATGGCCCTCGCCCTCGAAGTCATAGCGCCTTGGGCGATCAAGATCTTCGCGCTCGCTGGCCGAACTGAAAGCTGCTCCGTCTGCAAATAATATATACCATATAACATATACTATATAATATAATATATAATAGATTTTATATAACATATAATATATAATATATAGTATATGATATATAACACATAAATATATAAGGTACGGAATCACTTCGGCAACCGCACATGGCCTGTCGGCACTTCCTGAAACCGAATCTGCTGGCCAACCGCAGCACCGCAACCAGCTCCTAAATGATGCAAACGGCCTTTTAAGTGCCAGATCCAAGCAGAAAGTCGCAGTCACCACCCGCAATTTTCTACATCTTCACTCGGTTCAGCAACTGATGGCCTGGTATCACTTATAGAGGAGCCTTGACGATTAGAGTCATGATTGGTTGCTCCGACCCCTATACTAAGATGTGATGTCCAAAATAAAACCCCGAAGTCCGAAACACCTCCAAAATCCGCCCAGCAGCGGAGATCCGGAAACTTGCTCCGGTTGACCAGCGGCTTCCCTTCTGCGGAGTGGAAGGACCCGTCGATACCGGCATGGCATGCTTGCCAACCTGCACACGTCACAGCTAGTCGGATAGCGACAACTCAATAAACCACAGTTAGAATGGCATAACCGCATAAGAAAGCCTATAGGTCCTCCAAACCCCAAAACCCACCTAGAAGCCGAAACTCTGCAGATGCATGTAGCCTCTTGCGAGTAGCACTGAAGCGAAAACCCCCCGCCATCGTCGATGTTCGCAAATCGATAGCCGGCATCCCACAGGCTTCTCGCCGAGCCGGCATGTACCTTGGGTCTGCCGAGGCTTATGGGGGTCGGCGTGGAAAAGGTTTGGCAAGGCCCGTCCTGATCCACATCCCTGATGATCCCTGCTAGCAGCGCCAGGTACTCCTTTGGAATGCGACTTCCATAGTTCCTACAGGCTTGCCCACCGACGAGTTGCACTCCGGTTCAGGAGCTTGGCAAAGGTGCGCTCCATTCGCAGCTGATCCTGTGAACGATTCCCAGAAAAAACGTGCCTCATCAGGGTACAAGCCCCACATGGACCTACATCCCAGGCTCACGGAGTGTTGCCCGCCTCCCAGTCCATGGGATTCCCATGATTCCTATGCCCCCAGGATGAGCAGCAGATGTGCAAAGACCACCACAACCCAACTTCCCGACGAGCCACATCATTCCTGCAAAACGCTCTCTCTCGCAGCCCAGGCGCCACATCCGCGCCGAAGGCATACCAGGAGCTCCAGCCCATGGGTGGGTGCGAGGAGAAGGCCTCTCGCTCGGTGCTTTCTGGAAGGGACCCGGCTGAAGACTCCGAAGACTCATGGCTTGTCATCCTGATGCTCATCGTCCTCATCACCATGACCCTCTGCTACTGGCACAGATTTCCTTAAAAAAAGGTTCGTGCTGGCAAGCAGTCTCGACAGCTCGAGCTTTGAGGTGGCCGAAATCGAACTGGGGAGCTGGTGAGTTCATGCCGTCGCACTCTTCTTGTTCAGAGTTCGATGCGTGAGATCGATACCTGGTGGATTGTGTATTCGTTGCATTGAAAGATGCCTGAGCTAGAGTATGCCTGCAAAGGCTTTTAGACTCGCACTGCACCCGCTGGTGAGGACATTGCAGCGCACCGGGAGAGATCTAGCAACAAATCCTACAATCTTGCGAAGGTTCCTGCTATGTTTACAACCTTTCCGTCGAAGAGGCAGTGGCGGTCGCAGCGGAAAAGATGGAAGAACGGCCATCAAAATCTTTAGATACGCAAAGGTCGTCAATGATGGTCATTTCGAGAGTAGGATAGTCGTCAATTGCGCCTTTGGCCGCGGCTCATCAGGCACCCAAGGCCTTCGCCAACAGAGTGCTTCTGCTGCTTGCCAGCCCCTTTAACCTTTTCCGCGTTGATAAGAACATTGCTGAGAGCACTCATTGAGATCCCGGAATACTTGACTACTTACTTACACCAACTCACAAGGCCCTATAAGTGAGCCAGGCCCACTTCAATGTCTTGAGTTCTCTTGAATCTGGGCTCCTGAACTCATCTCGGCTCGGAGCGCCAAGCGCTGCCAAAGGCCACCAAGGCCAGGAAGCCCATAGCACCAATGCGCGGGCCAGCATTGCTTGCTCGGCTCTGTCTTGGCTCCAATCAGCCCGTACTGTTTGAGGCAGGGCCAAAGCATGTAGTGGGGCCTACGAGAGTACCTGCAGCTGCTGGACTTCATTCAAGGCATTAGCTGGCGTAATCCGCACTCGACTGCAAGGCGTGGGTGCCCTGAACTTTGCCATCTTCTCTTCTGTAAAACTTCCTTGGGCCGTGCAAGAGTGCTCTTGCAAGTCCTACTACGGCTGATTGTTGCAAGCGCATTTAAATCAACGTGGCTGAAATTACAATTGAGCCGTTCAACACCAATTCATAGTTAAGGTACTATAAAGAATACTTGCGACTACCCATGAGGCTGCAAATACGACGGAGGGGTCGCGTACATTGAACTGCAACCTGCTCGGAATAAAGCAGCAAACTTCCACAGAAGCCCTAGCAATCGTGTCAAAGCCACGTCTTCCAGTCAGAGCTTCCTCCTTTCCACCTTCAGTAATACGTTCAAGGGCATCCTCGCTCCCACACCGTCCTCCGCCCACACGTGAGCCCGCTTGGGTTCACCGGCACGCAGCAGCGCCTGGATGACCTCCAGGCTCTCTCGGCTCAGACTTAAGTTGCAGAGAGATCCGGTGGTCTTCAAGCAGGTGAAGAGTCCCAGGCATGACGGGGTTTGCTTGGTGGTTTAGACTCGGAGGTTCAAGGTGCTACTTTCGGGCTGCAAGTGCTCGGACAAGTTCTCAGATTGGTGCTGGCCTTGTTGTGGCCATTGTCTTTGCTATCGTCGCCGCTGCTGTTGTGGTTGGTGATCATTGTGATTACTGTGGCAGCTCTGGTGAATGATGATGACGATGACGATGATGACGATGGTGATGACGACGGTGACGATGATAACGATGTTGGTGATGACGACGATGATGATAATGATTATAGTGACGATGGCGGCGGCTGTGATGAGACAGTGACGACAAGAAGAGGAAAACGACGAGACACTGAAGATAATATGCAAACGCTGATAAACCAAAAAATACCCACACACACCTGTGTATTGTATGGCTATGGTGTATGCGCATGTCGGATGGCTCGCCGGATGGCTGGTTGGATGGACGGATGGATGGACTGAACAACTCTATAAACATGAGGTGGGCTCAAACTATGTGATCCTGGGCATCCTCCTCATTATAATGATTCCTCTGCACCGCAGGTGATCCCATACACGGCCAACGCTTCAACCAAGGGCGGGCCTCACGGAAGGAGTTGCCTCAAGCTGGCTCTTATTTTTGTGCGTGGCTGGCAACGTTTGGATCTCAGCATGAGTTGGGGGGGGGGGAAGACCAGTTAAGAAAACTTGGTTCAGGGGAAGACAGGCAGAGACAGAGAGAGAGAGAGAGAGAGAGAGCGAGACAGAAAGACAGCGAGAGGCAGAGACGGGGTGCAGAGATAGAGAGAGAAAGACATATATTGAGAGAGATGTAGACAGAGCAAGTAGGACGGATACATGCATATGTAGACAGGCAGCGAGGGACAGACAAATGAAACATGCGATGCAGGCGCACACTTATCCTCATGAATCTCTAGCGGATGTGGTGCAGATGAAGGTTATTTTGATATAAGTGATATGGATATTTTGTATCTCCCATGTTTAGCGTATGTGCAGAAACAAGCAAAACCTTGTCTCTGTAGCTGTCAGAGACGCTCAGACTAGAAGCGTCCTGCCCTTCCGAAGGAGCTTGGGCCGAGAATATGCAAAGCACTGAACTCGAGCATGTGACAATGGTTGATTGTGAGTGGTATAGCTTCGAAGCAACGCCTTAGTGTAAAGTTTAAACGAAACTACCGAGACTGTGCTGACGATTTAAATACCTAACGTTCAAAGTTGAATGTTGGTATGACTAGAAACAATCTTTTTGGAAGTACTGTAGAGCCCGCAGGCCTCAGGATGTGAGTCGTTCCACGAGCGGCACTAGATTTCGGGTCACGGCGACTGCATGCTCTGGTCCGAAGGACAAAGCTGCGTGAGAGACATCAAGCTACTCAACCTGCCTATGTCGACAAGATGGTTCCACGGACAAGCACAGACACACTTTGTGCCCACTCGGCTTTGCTGAGACCCCGTGCGGTGCGGCCGATCACTGGTTCGCTCCAGTAGGTCGATGAGGTATCGCTCCGCGCGTGTGAGGTCGTCCACCTGAATCGCAGGCCCTCATCCTGAAAACTACTTTGCTGCCTTGACAACAGCCCACGACCCTCACCAAAACGCAAACGATCGATGCCGAAGATCCGTCCACTGTTGCATCCCCCTGAGAGCTCCATCGAACAACCTTTGAACTCGAAAGTCCATGAATGGCACCTGCTTTGACTCGGCGTCTTGGAGATATTGTGAATAAACACACCTACAATCGCAGACCGGCAAGGGATGTAGAAGCCACACGTACGTACCTCTGCAACGAGGCTCTCAATTCCAAAATCTCCAAGCCCAACAACTCCGAAATGAAAAAACACTTTAGAGTCGATTGTTTGTCTATGGGCGATGCCTACAGTACCCTAAACCATGACATCTCATGAAGCAAAAAAAGCTTTGGTTTGGAAACCCCCCTGCGCCTTGGCACATCCTTGGATCATGACGTCGAAGCTTGCACGGTCGGGCCTTGCCGGGTGGTATCTTGCAGCTTGCACGTCTCAGCTTTGCGCTGGTTTTGAGGTATTTTGGGGGGGCTCCACACATCGGTGGCATGAACTGATCTTCCGCAGCATCTGGACTCCAGGTTCGATCAAATGTTTTGTTGCAGAAATCCTAGGCCCAGCACTCCAGATTGAAAACCCCCTGTGCCTCAGTCCGTGCAGCTCGGGGTGGAGAGCACCCTGGCGAGTTTTCTGAAACCAGCTGTCGGCCTCACAGAGGACGCTTCCGGGTTGCCTTTTATGGATTGAGGGCATGAAAGCTTCTGGACTTTGGGATTTTGGGGATTGGGTCTCTACCAGCGTTGTCTGGACAAGGCGGCTGCGATTCTTCCTCGATTGGTGTCAGGCGATTCAGTCACAGAGTAGTTTTGCAGGGACATACCGGAAGCCTCTTTTCTTTTTCGCGCCGGCCGGCGACTGCAATGCTGTCAACAGACGGCTGTATTATTGGTAGCTGCAGGCAGGATCATGCCAAGTGTCCCACACAGACTGACAGACTAAGCTTCAAATGCGGGAACCGGAACTTGCAAAATCCAAAGCATCACCATGTTCGATCTTGACGACAGTAGCGACACAGATGCTGATCCCACCTTAGCGCTACGTAGTCTGGAGATCAGCGCTACCCTTTAAGGCTCCACCTTCTTTGAGTAAGTGTCAGCATCTCGGGTCTGAGAAGGGGCAGATGGGAAGCAATTCAGGGCTGCAGAGCTTGCAAGCGAAATATAATGGCTTCTGCCCTCCCATTGGCCGACAACAAACGGACGTCATGGCAGCAGCGGTGGGAATGCAGATCAAAAGCACATGGACCTTCTCTTGCACGCTAGCTAACATCAGTCCACTCCGATTGAATACGAGACCTCAGCGTATAGGTGGAACACTGCAGCTAGCAGGTATGCGCAAGATCCACGCATTCCAAGCCTTCGCAACTGTTGTGCGCATGCGCCGCTACCAGAGGACTTGCAAAGTGGATTGCAATGGAGGGTAGCTATATCCGAAACACAGTGTGCTTGGATCGTGTAGGGACATGAAGCATTCACCACATTTCTCCTCATGCACTGAACGGTTCAACTCCTTTCCTCGACAATATGCAATATGGCCACCTCATTGCCATGCAACATGGGACGTGAACAAATGCACACGTGCCACCGCTCTGCTTGCGGTAAATTACTGGCAGTCATGCTGTCATGGCTCAGGATGGATCAAAATTGACGACTTCCTTGGAGTCGTCGAGCAGTTCATGCAACAGGCATATTTGAGTCCAGCCCGGGGGCTGACAACAAAGCTCAGCATGCAGTTGGCTTGACAATGCTTGACACGAACGGAGCTTTCGACCCTGCCGCAGAATCTGCTCTCCGGCTCCTCGCAGCCCTCACTCAGAGACTTCTCCGGCAAGAAATGACCTAAGAAGTCTCTTCCAAAGCTTAGCGCAGCCCTTGCAGGAGATCTACTGAGCGTCCCGGGATTCGGAAGCGGAAACATTGCGCGAGCTTTGTGCCTGGGCCCCCTGAGGTCCCTAGGTGCGACCAAGGCTTCTACTTCCTACTTCTAGGCTCAACCCTAAACCCTAAATTACTAAACCCTAAACCCTAAACCCTAAACCCTAAGCCAAGAGGGCGCGGTAGGCAGCAAAGCCGGCTTTGGCCTGGACCCTAAAGTCTTTCGGACTCTAAACGGCCAGATGCCCTGAGACCTCCGAGTCCTCTGACTCGAAAAGGCCTCTACTTCCATCGATACTCTGACCATCGGAAGCATAAAGCAAAGAGGATCTCCAAACAAATGTGGTAGCCAAGGCCAGGCCAAAAAGTGACTAGCGGCTCCGGGTTTCGTGGGAGCTTCGTTCCCGCTTCCTGCAGCTCTCTGCGACAGAGGAGGTTTGATCACACGCCTACCATATGGGAGTTTCCGAAAATTAGGGGTACCTTATTTAGGGGTCCTTATAATAAGGATCCTACTATTTAGGGTACTGTATTAGGATCCCCTGTTTTCGGAAGCCCTCATATGTAGCTTCAGTTTACACAATGCTGCTAAGGAGGTGTGCCCCAAGCAAAGCTGTGTGTCTGTGCGTTTGTCCGGCTGTGATGTCTACATGTCTGTATGGCGAGAGTGTTCGTTTTTTGTTTGGATATATATATATATATATATATTTGTGTTTGCTTTTTTTTTTTGCTGCGGGTGCGGGGCGCCTTTTTGCGGAGGCTTTTTCGTTCGGGCGCCCCGATTCCACTCACTCACTTGCTGCCCGCCGCTGGTGCGGCCACCCACGCCAAAGAACATGGGCTCTATGCGTAGATTCTTACATCCGTTCTCAGACTCAAAGAAGGGACGATGATGCATAGTCTAC